ATTGAAGAGGACACAAAAAATGGAAAGATACTCCATGTTCTTGCTTTGGAATAATCAGTACTGTTAAAATGTCCATACTACCTAAAGTAATCTACAGATTCAATGCAATCGCTATCAAAATACTAATGACATTCTTCACAGAAATAGAAGAAACAATTCTAAAACTTTTATGGAACTCACAAAAGACCCACAATAGCCAAAGCTATTCTGAGCAAAAAGAATAAAACTGGAGGAATCACATTACTTAATTATACTACAAAGCTATGGTAACCAAAATAGTATGGTACTTGCTCAAAAACAGACACATAGATCAATGGAACAAAATAGAGAACCCAGAAACAAATCCACACATCTGCAGGGAACTCATTTTCAACAAAGGTGCCAAGAGCATACACTGGGGAAAGAACAATCTCTTCAATAAATGGTGTTGAGAAAACTATCCATATAAAAAAGAATGAAACTAGACCCCTATCTCTCACCATATTAAAAAATCATATTGAAATGAATCACAGGCTTAAATTTAAGGTCTCACAATATGAAACTACTAGAAGACAACATTGGAGAAACTCTCCAGGACACTGGAGTGAGCCAAGAATTCTTTAGTAATACCCCATAGGCACAGGCAACAAAGGCAAAATTAAACAAATGGGATAACATCAAGTTAAAAGGTTTCTGCACAGCAAAGGAAACAATCAACAAAATGAAGAGACAACCCACAGAATGGGAGAAACTATTTGTTAACTATCCATCTGACAAGGGATTAATAACTAGAATATATAAGGAGCTCTAACAACTCTACAGGAAAAAAATCTGATAATCTGAATAAGAAATGGGCAAAGAATATGAATAGACATTTCTAAAAAGTGACATACAAATGGCAAACAGGTATATGAAAAAGTACTCAACATCAAACTCAGAAAAACTCAAATCAAAACTACAGTAAGACATTATCTGTTCCCAGTTAAAATGGCTTTTATCTAAAAGACAGGCAATAACAAATGCTGGTGAGGATGTGGAGAAGCAGGAATCATTGCTCACTGTTGGTGGGAATGTAAACTAATATAGCCACTTTGGAAAACAGTTCAGAGGTTCCTCAAAAAACTCAAAACAGAATTATCATGTGATCCACCAGTCCAATGACTTGGGATATACTCGAAAGAAAGGAAATCAGTATATTAAAGAGATATTTGCACTCCCATGTTTACTGCAGCACTATTCGCAATAGCCAAGATTTGGAAGCAACCTAAGTGTCCATCAACAGACAAATGGATAAAGACAATGTGGTACATATACACAATGGAGTATTATTTAGCCATGAAAACGAATAAGAGCCTATCTTTTTCAACAACATGGATGAAACTGGAGGTCATTAAGTTAAGTGAAATAAGCCAGGTACAGAAAGACAAATCTCACATGTTCTCACTCGTTTGTGGGAGTTAAAAATTAAAACAACTGAACTTGTAGAGAGAGAGTAAAAAGATGATGACCAGAGCCTTGGAAAGGTAGTTGGGTGGGGAGGGGGCAAGAGGATGGTTAATGGGCACAAAAATATAGTTATATGGAAGTAATAAGATGCAGCATTTGGTAGAACAAGGTGACTACAGTCAACAATTATTATACATTTTGAAATGACTGGAAGAGTATAATTGGATTGGTTGTAACACAAAGAAAGGATAAATGCTTGAGGTGATGAATAACCCATTTACCCCCAAGTGATGATCACATATTGCAGGCCTGTATCAAAATCTCATGTACCCCACAAACATCTACTATGTACCCACAAACATTTTTAAGAGGAAGTTCTGACAAAGAAAAAATAATTTTTGTTACTTAGATATCTGCTAATCTATCTTAACAGAACAGATGAAGAATATACATCATGAAGAAAGCGTATGATGGTTAATTTTATTTGTAAATCTGACTAGGACCAAATATTCACTTAAATATTATGCATGGGTGTTCTGGTGAAGGCGTTTCTGGATGAGATTAACATTTGAATCAGTAGACTGAACAAAGCACATTTCCTGCCCCAGTGTGAGGGGGCCTCATCCAATCTGTTGAAGTTCTGAATAGAATAGAAAGCAAAGACAGTATTTTTTCTGTCTTCAAGCCTGACTGTCTTTGAGCTAGGACAATGGTCTTGTTTTTTTTTTTTTTTTTGGACTGGAACTTACACCATCAGCTCTCCTGGGTCTGAATTTCTCAGCCTACAAAGTCACATGGTCTAATTCTGTATACCAAATTTCTTTACCATCATCCCTCCCCCCTCCCCCGCCCCCTCCACACACCGTATTGATCTGTTTCTCTGGAGAACTCTGAATAATACTTAGGACATGAGGGGCATGCAGAATGAGCTCACATTGTGAAAATACTATCAGATAAACTGGGGAGACTAAAGTCAGATGACAATGGGTCCAACAGAGACAGTAAGTCTTTAATTGGATTTTGACAGAAGAACAGGAAATTCACGGAAAGAGAGGGAAGAAGGGTAACCTAAGTGGGATTTTTTACTCAAAAAGTTGTGTGCATTTGGAATGCCAGCCATTTTTTCCAAAGGAAAATCAATTCTGTGTGGAGCTACATAAGAAACAGGGTAATGGAGGAAGACTCTATGTCTGGACAAGTGGACGAAGAACTAAAGAATCGACCTGATATGAAAGTACAAATTGTGCACTGACTTGATGCTGAGGCTCACTCAGACAATGGGATATACAGAGTAATGGGATCCTGGCCCTGTGCTCCAGGAGTGCATTGTCTAAATAGCCATAACTGCCTAGCAGGCTTCCAGGTGATAAAAACAGGTTTCATAAAATATGTTCTTGCCCAATAAACATGCAAGCCAAACATCATATTTTCAACACACAAGACAAATATTTAGGCAAAAAAAATGCATATCAAAAATTACTATGCACGAAGCTTCTTCGATTGTAGACAGATGGTCAAGTGAGGTGAATGAGTGAGGCTAGGAGCAAGCTGTGATGGAGCAAGGTAGACATGCGAGAGCCTCATCCTGTGAGTACATGTGCTTGATGCCTTGATTTATTTTGAACCCAAATGAACAGGCCACAGGCTACATAGCATAGTTGGGTTACTCTAACATTTTAGCTTTTTAAAATTATTAGCAGCCTAAGCTATGGCTCAAAGGCCACAGAGCACTGCTTAACACTAAGTTCAAGGTTAATGTTAGTGGCTTCATGAAAGAACACAGAAATGGGTTACAGGGCTCCAAATTGGGCTGAAAAGAACCTTCTGACTTTCAAAGGTGATAAGTGTGTTTTCAGGCTTTGGGTAGAATGCTTTGATTTGAAGACGAAGATTGAAATCTCTATGATACCATTCTCTTTGGTTTTCTTGTGCGTTCCATAGCTATGGCTTTCACTGAAATCCCATTTTCTATTAGAATCCACTGGCATTTCCTTCCTGCTGATGGCTGGGTACTACTACTGAAAAAATATTTGTCTTTATACATACATGAGCATATATAAATCCCCTCCAAAGTGTTGACTACTCATTTCAGTTTTTATTGAAATAACTGTCCACTTGTACTATGGATATCTTTATAAAAACACATGTAAATGTATTCTGTTTGGCAGGGTTTTTAAAGTGCATTTTCTTTAGTTATTCATACTGGGTGAAATGTAGCCACATTAATCATTTTTCTAATTTTCTGTGTGTGACTGCCCGCCATGAACACTGATGCTAGCACATTTCTTTTTAGCTACTTTTTTCAGGATTAGAGGGATATTGCTACAGCTTCAGAACTGACAATTTCCTACAAGTTTCTAATACATCTTATACCATATGCAAGATAAAGCTATGCTCATAGTTTAAAATCACTCAAATGACATGTGTAAAGAGAAATGCTTAACTGATTTTCCAAATCATTTTCCTGTAAAGTTGAACTGTTTCTTAAATCCTTAGCTGTTTTTTGAGACGGAGTTTCACTCTTGTTACCCAGGCTGGAGTGCAATGGCGCGATCTCGGCTCACCGCAACCTCCGCGTCCTGGGTTCAGGCAATTCTCCTGCCTCAGCCTCCTGAGTAACTGGGATTACAGGCATGCGCCACCATGCCCAGCTGATTTTTTGTATTTTTAGTAGAGACGGGGTTTCACCATGTTGACCAGGATGGTCTCCATCTCTTGACCTTGTGATCCACCTGCCTCGGCCTCCCAAAGTACTGGGATTACAGGCGTGAGCCACCGCGCCCGGCCAGCTGTTTTTTATATTACTATATACAGTGACTATCAAGGATTTAAAATACCAGTTATACTCAGTATTAGCAAGGGCATTCTTACGTACCACTGCTAGAAATATAAACTAGTGTACTTTTGTCTACAGGGCAGTTAAGAGTTAATAAGCAATATGTATAATAAACCTTTAAGATGAGAAAAACCTTGAACCTGGAAATTTCACTTACGAGAATTCATCTTGGTTATGATACTCATCTTAATACAACTATCAACTAAGTTGTTAGTTGCAAAAAAACTTTAGAATAATATGATTACTAATAATAGGAGACTAAAATAAATTATGGCATATCCATGTAATGGAATTCTATGCAGCCATTAAAAAGGGTGGCTAGGTATGGACTCAGTGACTTAAAAAGGTGATCCCGATACAATCTTATCTCTATAATAGCAATTGTTTTAATGTTACATACATATGTCTATGTGTACATACACATAAAACTTAGAAAAATGGATCTTAACATGGTTTCTGTTAAAGAGAAGTTTTCCTTTTTTCTTCTTTAAATCTTCTAATTTTTATATAATACATTTTTTATAGTTATAACATATATATAATATACACATACATACATATATATGCACCACAGAAGCTTCTTTTCCAGCTGTCCTGCCTCTAGGCATACGGACTTTGAAGCAACCATGCTGGGGGTGGGGGTGGGGGCGGGGATGGGGAATCTGAAGGCCTCATCCCTCCCAAACCTGATCTGCCTAGCTCAGCTGTCCTGTAAGACAGGAGCAAGGATCCTGCTCACCAGACTGTCCTGGATGCAGGGAGTCTCCACGAGCCTCCGGACTCCGTTCTCCACAGTGACTCCCAGCCAGTTGAGCACTGCCCAGCACCAGAGGTAGTCGTAGCCGCCATGCCAGTAGCTCACAAATGCAAATGTCATCGCCGTGGAAAACAGCGTCCCCAGCAGGCCATGCTGGGACCCACCTACTGGAATGTACACATACCTAGAGAAAGAAGAGGTTGTTAGGAGCCATGAATAGGGCTGCCCTGCAACTCTGCCTGCTCCCTGGCTTTACTCCCCTGTTGTACACTGCTGTTCACATATGCAGATCCGCCCTCACTTCCAGGAGGCCAGATTCCTTGGATTCTCCATCCCTCAAGGAACTGGCAAAAACCCAAGCCTCACCTCTGCAGGGCGTTAGGTTAAATGAACACACAGGCTCAAGGGTTCTCATTACCAGAACAAAATAGCACTTACAAGAAGCAGGGCCAGAAGTCATGAATTTAGAGTTTCTGAAAGGGATGTGCCCAACCCTGGAAACCCAAACACAGAACGGCAGTTAAGCTTCTGACCACATGGGGCCAGCAACCTTCAAGGCAGGTGATACAGTTTGGTTGTGTCCCCATCCAAATCTCATCTTGAACTGTAGCTCCCATAATCCCCACATGTCAAGGGAGGGACCCAGTGGGAGGTAACTGAGTCATGGGGGCAGGATTTTCCTATGCTGTTCTCATGATACTGGGTAAGTCTCACGAGATCTGATGGTTGTATAACAGGCAGTTCCCCTGCACAAGCTCTCTAGCCTGCCACCATGTAAGACATGCCTTTGCTCCTCCTTTGCCTTCTGCCGTGATTGTGAGGCTTCCCCAGCCATGTGGAACTGTGAGTCCATTAAACTGTTTTTTCTTCATAAATTACCCAGTCTTGGGTATTTCTTCATAATGGTATGAAATGGAGTAATACAGCAGGTGTGGATTTGACAGATCAGATTATTAAATTTATGGTAAACCCATTCTTTAAACACAATTGCTAAGACCATGATCCTAAACACGCAGGAGCTGGGTGCTGCAGATGGGTGCCAGAGCTGGTTTCCAACTTTCTAAGCAGGGTTGCCCAGAAGCAGTCGTGAATTCATAGTAAAGAAAAGGGCTCTGTGCTCACAGGGCAGCCAAACTACTGGACAAAATGCATAGCTGTCCCCCTGGGTATGTTCTCCATTGCTGAGACAACTGCCTGAGCCCATGGAGACAGGACTATGTTCTTCAATCGGTATTTTCCTGCTTCAGTTGGACAAAACTCACACCTTGAGCTCTTAGGACCTGGAGAGCTAGGAGCACACCCTTCTTACAACAGCCTTTTAAAAAAGCCCATAGGCCTTTGTTTATTGCTGGTTGGTGTTTCTTTGTCCAACCTTCCTCCAGGAGGGAAAAGTAAAAAATCCTTTTTTGAATACACAATATGTTCCAAGTGCAACATGACACTTTACATGTACCACTTTGATTCTTTTAAGCACCATACATATGGTTTATACCTACTGCCCCAGCATCTTAAACAATTTAGCATCTGTTTATATATTATTTTAACTTGGGGGAGGAGATCAAACCTATTTTTGAGGAGGAAATAAAATTGTTTTTTGAGAGGAAATTGTTCTAGTCAAAATGTTTTTCAATAGAACTATTTTACTTTTAGAGACAGCATCTCCAAATGTTCCCAAGGCAGGAGTGCAGTAGTGCAATGATAACTTACCACGACCTCAAACTCCTAAACTCAGACAATCCTCCACTTCAGCCTCCCAAGTAGCTGGGACTACAGGAATGCACAATGACACCTAGCTAATTTAAAACTTTTTTTGTAGAGATGAAAAATTTGCCCAGGCTAGTTTTGAACTCCTAGTCTCAGTGATCCTCCTGCCTCAGTCTCCCAAAACACAAAGATTACAGTCATGAGTCACCATACCTGGCTTAAAAGAACAATTTTATAGGTAGGCAAGGCAAAAATAAAAACAGCTTATCAGGCAATAAAGAAATCTTTTGAAAGACTATATGACTGTAAATTATTTAAAAATGTGCCACTTAACGAAGACTCTCTCCTTGACTAAACTTTAGTCAAGCTCCTCTCAGCATTCTAGGCCTCGATCTTGGTGTGCATCTTTATTGTAGCAAGAATCATGCTAAGTCGGTTTAGAATGAACCCCCCACTTGCAATATCTGATTATGCTCCATTATCTGGTCAAATTCTTCAGCACCTACTCTTGGTGTCTGATCGCCCTGGCTGCCTTCAGGAGGAACCCTGTTAGGTCTGTTTAGCCAGAATCTCCCTATTTTCCAATGTTTCCTCTAAATAATATTCCACTCAATGACCCACCTTGCTCCTTGGCTATATCCCCCTTGTCGATGCTGTATTCAAAATTAAGCCCAGTTCTGGTCGGTTGTGGTGGCTTACGCCTGTAATCCCAGCACTCTGAGAGGCTGAGACACAGGTGGATCATCTGAGGTCAGGAGTTCAACAAGAGCCTGGCTAACACTGAAACCCTGTCACAACCCAAAATACAAAAATCAGCTGGGCATGGTGGTGCATGCCTGTAGTCCCAGCTGCTCTGGAGGCTGAGGCAGGAGAATCGCTTGAACCTGGGAGGAGGAGGTGGAGGTTGCAGTGAGCTAAGAACACGCCACTGCACTCAGCCTGGGCTATAGAGCAAGACCCCTTCTCAAAAAAAAAAAAAAAAAAAAATTGAGCACAGTTCTATACTGAGGTCTCTTTCCCCTATTACAATAGTTCCTGAATAAAATTTTTACTGATTCAACTACTACCTAGCTCTGGTTTTTCTTTAACATCCTCCACTCTCAAATATGTTCCAGTTTCCAGTTTAGATAATAAATTATCTGACCACCTTAGATAATCCCATTTTATGGGTGACAAAACCAAGGTTGAGAAGTTTATTTGCCCAAGGTACACAGCTAGGAAGGAGAAGGACCAAGATCCAAATATGCATCTGTACCTCCAACTTACTACTTCCATTACATCCCTGGGCTAATTTTTAAAGTCCTCTATATTTCACCCCAATCAGGAACAATTAAGCTGGAAGGCATGTGAGAATGTAGCAGTTTGAGAAATAAGCAAAGCAAAGCCAGTACTTTCATTTGTGCCAAAACAGGACCATCTTCACAATCATATCAGCGAATTGGCATCAAGCACTTATACAGATTAAGGGATCTGCCTGTTGAGCATGTCTTTAGGACTTCAGAGAATTCCTGGCATTATGGGAAACAGAGACATGACTTTGTTCCTGCTGTAAGGATGGGCATACCTGCTTGTGAAACAACAGCAAACAGGTCCCTCCAGTAAGCTATGTGCCATGGTACAAAGTACGCCAGGAAGGTTTGAGAGTGCAGGGGAGAAGGGTGTGGGGTAAAAGAGGCTTAAGGCCGAAGGCTCTTACTCCGGCGAAGGACGAGAGGATGAGTTCTGCTAGGTAAAGAGGAGAGGTTGGGCACTGCAGCAAGGACACAAACGAGGGGCTGGATGACAAGTTAGAAAAGCCGGACAGCCCAGGGCATAGTGGTCTTATCCAGTGTTCTGCTGCCCCTCAGAGGCTTCTTGGTCATTGGTGTAGAATACTCAGCAGAGGCAAAAAAAAAAAAAAAAAAAAAATGGGCCACCATTCGCTGTCTCCTACCTACATGGAGGTAACTGCTGGCTTATCGTGAGGTGCCCTTAACTTTACATCATCAGCGCTGTATGTAGAAATAAAATAGGGTGATCAAACCTATTGCAAAAGGACGAAGAACAACTTCTCTTTAAGGAAACTGTGCAGGTGGCTGTTTTACAAAACAGATTATCAAATGCTGTCTTCATCCAACCTGCTTCATGTTGAGTTTTTGTTTTTTTTAAATCGTATCTCACTATATAAAAGTGAGCTGCAGCTGGGGACGGTGGCTCACACCTGTAATTCCAACACTTTGGGAGGCCAAGGCTGGGGGAGGGGGCGGTCACTTGAGATGAGGAGTTCAAGACCAGCCTGGACAACATGGTGAAACCCTGTCTCTACTAAAAATACATAAATTAGCCAGGCATGGTGGTGCACACCGACAGTCTCAGCTACCTGGGAGGGTGAGCCAGGAGAATTGCTTGAACCTGGGAGGCGGAGGTTGCAGGGAGCCTAGATTGCACCATGGCCCTCCAGCCTGGGTGAAAGAGCAAGACTCTGTCTCAAAAAAGTGAGCTGCACCGTATATGTCAGAAAAGCACAGCATAAAAACCTCTCATTCTCCACACCAGTGGTACTTGATCTTGGATTTAACTCCAAGAAGGACATGTTTTCAAGCTTGTGATGAGGAAGCATCTAGCCCCAAAATTACATGCCCAGCTATTTTGGGCATCTCCTGGAACCATGGCTCTGTTACTTTGCCTTCAAAATGACAGCCGACAAAAATATCTGAAAATTCCTTCTATTCTAGAAATTCATATATGGCAGGTCTCCAAGGACATGAGGCTGCTTGTTTCAAGCCAGAGAAGGTAGAGCTTCCAGGCTGGAAGACAAAAATCCCTTCTTTATTCTTAATTTCTAGAAGGCAGTACGTGTGGTAAAAAGGAGAGCAAACAGGTTATTTTCTTTTACAAATTCTATCGTCTTCTGTCAGTTCCACGATTAATAAAAACAGAAACATGTCTCTTTTTTTAGAAAAGCAGTAGTATGAAACCGCTTACTAAGACTCGCTGCACAGTAAATTGATTTCCCAATGGAAGAAAGCAATCAACACCACCTTCTCAGAAAGCAAAACTAAAAAGATTGCTTCTCGTCAGTGACTATGTCAGGTTCAACCTTCAAGAAGCCTGCCTCTGTTTGGCCGGCTTCGTGTGGTCACTGCTTATGGAAAATGCTGCACTCACCTTCTTAATTTAAAAGCATCTCACCAAATCAATGCACTGTAGCAAACCCCCAACTCAGAAGGAAGAATCTATATAAAATGCAGACTGTATTGATGACGTCTACCCTTTACTGAGTGCCCATGCACCAAGTGCTTTATGCATACTATTTCTAATCATTAAAACAACGCTGCAAGGAAATAACCATTAGGCCTATTTTACACAGGAGAGATGAAATCTGCACCTAGAATATTGTGGTTCCAACACCCTCAGGCCTAGGTGCTTTGGTGATGTTTCTCGTTTAACCAAATCTCCAAAGCAGTCTCCACAGAAATATCCACTGGTGTTTTATTAACT